CCCCATGTCCCCCCCCGCTGCCAAAACCTTGTCACGCAAACCCAATACAGCGTTGATGCCGGAGATCATAGAAGCTAGTCTGACTGGGATATCCAGTACTTAAAAATACATGCAGAGCAACGCCCAAGTTCTTTGAAAGAACAAGTGTGCAAATGAGAGGAACAGAAATCTGGGAATGTTTTATCCAGGTGATAGAGGCCCAGCCTCCCTAGGAATGTGGTAGAATCCCCATTGCTGGAGGTTTTCAAGATGCGATTGGGCAGGGTGCTAGATGATCTCATCTAGGCTCCCTTTCCCATGACAGCTTGGACCAGATCATCTTTCAGGGTCCCTTCCAACCTAGAATGGTTTGGATTTTGCTGAGCTGCTGAGCTGCTCTGTGATTCTGTGAATGCATTTTAGATTTGTCCCTGAGACAGATGTAGAGAAGTTTATGGGGAGTAAGATACAACCAGCTCCACACCCTTCAGATACAGTCCCTTGATACAGTCCATTCCGGAGTCTTTTTGTTGGTGGCTGGTGACAGGACAAGGGGCAATGGGCAAAAACTGGAACACTGGAAGTTCCAGACAAACTTAAGGAAAAATTTATTTACAGTGAGAGTGACAGAGCACTGGGACAGGCTGCCCAGAGAGACTGTGGAGTCTCCATCTCGTTCAAAACCTGCCTGGATGCTTTTCTGTGTAACCTTCTGTAGGGAACTTGCTTTGGTAGGGGGGCTGGACTAGATGATCTCCTGAGGTCCCTTCCAACCCTGATCATTCTGTGATTCTGTGAAAACTGATGTTAGCACACAGTGCCCTTTTAACTGTAGAAATATCTCTTTATTTTACTGTTCAATTCTTTGACATCTTGTCTGAAAACTTAAGGTGTTGTTACCTGGAGTTCTTTAGCATCTGTAATGCCATTGGAAAGAATCTTTCTTGTTGCTACATACCAGCCATCAGACTTTGGTAGGGCTTGGTGGGGGGGGGTTTGATGTTTTTTTTTTTGGGGGTGCCCTTTTAACTGTAGAAATATCTCTTTATTTTACTGTTCAATTCTTTGACATCTTGTCTGAAAACTTAAGGTGTTGTTACCTGGAGTTCTTTAGCATCTGTAATGCCATTGGAAAGAATCTTTCTTGTTGCTACATACCAGCCATCAGACTTTGGTAGGGCTTGGTGGGGGGGGGTTTGATGTTTTTTTTTTTGGGGGGGGTTGTTTTGTTTTGTTTTTGTTGTGTTTTTTTTGACACAACCTTTGCTTTGTTTGCATAAAGACTTAATAAAATATCGACATATATAACATAATTAAAAGTGTTCTTGTTTTGGTGTATTAATTATAGAGGAATGGGAGATGGGGTGTTATTAAGTGCTTGGGTGTCAAGGTGATGAGGCTGTGACTGAAGCTGCAGTCTTCAAAGAAATCTTTCAGATCTGTTTCAGTGACTTTGTTTTTAAAGAAGCTTCTTACCCAGGGAAGGATTCAGGTGGCTTCAGCTGAGTGAAGATTCAGACTTTGCATTGTAATTTTGTATTTGGATAAGGAAGAGACAGGCATGCATCAGTGTTGGAGGCCTCGTTAAGATACCACAGTTCTACTAGGTCAGCAAAATCATATGAGCCTAGAGCAATTCCTCCAGTGCTCAAGCAACAAGAGGCTTAAGCTTCAGAGAAAACCTGTGCACAGTGCTGTTACAGGCAGGATGATGAATTGGTGGTTCCTGCCATGTGCCAGATCCACTTGTGAATGTTCTCAGCTCTAGACTTCTGGACCTTTTGGACTTTGGTTTATTTCCCAGTGTTAAAATGTGTTCATCTCTATTCTTCTTTGTCTCAAGAATGTATTAGGTCTTTTGAAAAGAGTTAATTTCATTTTCTTCCAGGAAGATCAAACTATGTGCTATCTGGTTCATAGTGTAGAAAGCAGAAGTTAACCTGCTCTTCATTCTGAACTGAGGAATTAAAACTTCCTTTAGATTTCAGCTTCAGCATGGAGTTGTAGAAGAAAGACATTTTCCAGGAGGACATTTGAAGTACTCCTTAGGTCTCTGCAGTATTTAGTCATCAGCTTTAGGTTTTTCCTGCCAGTTCATGACTTTCCAGGATTATGGTTTAGTGCATAAATAAAAGCTTTTGGTATTTCATATTGTGTGTGAAAAGAAATACTGTAATTTGGTGTTTAATTTTTATATGCCAATACAGTTCCAAAAGCAAAAGGTTTATCTTCCTTTTTTTAAATATGTATTTTGACTTCAGTTGTTGCTGCTAATATTCTGTATTAATATTCAGCCAAAGCTGATGGCAAAATGCATGAACTTTGTAAGATGACTTAGTAAATACTGGAGTTTGAGAGGCAGAATCGAAAATGAGTGTATTTTTGGTACTTCTCTAACTTCATCCAGGATTTAACTTCATTCATCCATCTGGTCTCTCTGGAATGAATGCAGTGAATTTGATTAAAGGCAACAAGGCTTGTAAGTCTGAACCAGCGTGCTGGCAGCTCTGACAGTGCTTTTGCGTCATTTAGCACCTGCATTTTTAGCCTCTCATTGTGAGGCAAGGAGGATGAAGAGTCATTACATTAATACAACTGTTTTAATATGTTAATAAAAATCACTTAGATGGGCATATTTTATCTTTTTCATAACACTGCTGTTTTTAAAAATAGCTTTTCTTCCCCCCCCCCCATCTTTAAATAAAAACCAAGGTGTGACTATAAAGATTTACCTATAGCTTCATGTATTGTCTGAGTTAAACAGTTACGTATCTGCTGTGTAGGGCCTAGAACTCTTGGCTTGTCAAAATCATTCTGAAGTTTGTCCCTGAATTCAGTGAGATAAGGAGCAGTCTGATATGGTGTGTAGCTTCATATTGAAACAAAGGGTAACAATAATAAAATCGGTCAATTTTTGAGAGATGCAATCAAGGAAAAATGCTGTGGGGAGAGCACGTGTGAGGAATTGTCATTTCAGTCCATATTGCTTCTGGAGTAAAAAATAGTGACTTTAGAACACAGTCCCCAAACCAAATATTTTGGGCTGTTATTTATGTTTTTCTGGTCTACTGATAGACTGATCATTTAGAGACTCAGGAGGCTTTTTAACGGAGCTGTTTGAACTCTTCCTGTTGCACAGACAGGCATGGTGCGCTGCGATACGGCTGTGGGAACCCCCGACTACATATCGCCCGAAGTTCTGAAGTCGCAAGGGGGTGATGGTTACTATGGACGGGAATGCGACTGGTGGTCTGTAGGAGTTTTCCTCTTTGAGATGCTAGTTGGTAAGTAATGATTTCTTCTGCTAATGAGGTTATCATTGAATCTTTCCTGTGCCTTTAGCTGTACTTCGCTGCCAGGGGGCTGGCTATACCTCACCTAACAGTGTCTGACTTTTGGCTGATGCTGTTGTTTTACTCCTGTTCCCTTTGCCCTCTGTCGCTCTTATGCTGCGACAGCTGTTTGCGTGCTTGCTCAGTGATTAGTTCCCTGACTCTGTTCAGCTTAAAACTAATTCTTAGAATAGTTTTAACAGGGTTCAGCTACCTCACCATCTCATGCATGCTTGTGCCACCTCAGGGGCTTCTGTTAGGTCCAAATGGCTGTGGAAGTGCGGCTTGATACTGGCTTTTATTCTTGAGCCAGGATTTTCCAGTAACATACAGAAGACTGCTATGGCAACTAACATAGAATATAATCTGTTAAGGAGATGAGTCATCTGCATCTTAAAATACAGTGAAGATCAGTATTATAGTCTGCTAGCAAAATACCAATTATAGAAGGATGGAATTGAGCATATAATTATTAAAAATCCATATCAGCGTGTTCTGGGAGTGTTGCAGAACTGTTGTTTGTGGTGTCCTGAGCCAAGACAGACATTTGGATATATGATGCTATTACAGTCCCTGTGCCTTTCAGAATTAAGGCATTTTGACTTACAAAAAGCATGCTTTATAATTCATAGGATCTCATAAGCAATTTTAGCAATAAATAAAATTCTGTCCAGAATGTTTTCTCAGAGCCTCTTCCCGCCCACCCTGTATCTGAAAGAGAGGATTCTCCCCTTTTTATCTTTTTAATGAAAACATTTTTTTTAAGTGAAAGTGCAGAGGTACAGTTTTTGCAGGATCTGGATTATATGAGGGAGCCTGTACCTATTAGGACAAAAGTCCATTTACATTTCAGTGCAACACACTGTGGTTTTATTCTGAGGTTTCAGTATGGATTGCTAAACTTAGGGGCTTTATTTGGTATAGTTATTCCTAGAGTTTGCAGTTGTGTGTTGGAAAATTTCTAATATTTCATATTTAATTTTTCCTCCTAAAGTATGTCTTAATATTTGAAGCTATGTTTTTACTGCTTTTGTTTGTTTGGTTTTGATACTGAACATATTTTTTTTTTCCTTGTGTTTACTCTGGACTGGAAACTGCTTTCATTAAGTGTGATTTTCCACACACTTTTTCTGATGGGAGTGAAATAACAATTTTGTTTCCATTTCGAGTTTAGCTATGCCATAGTCCTACATGTGATTAACACTGTAGCCTTCAGCTGAATTCTCCTTTCTTTGAGCTTCTAATGAAGCCTTCTTCCTGCCTTTTTTTTTCTTTTTTTTTTTCCTAATCTGAGCCTCTTTCTTCCTCTGAAATGGATATGTGATTTTTCTATCTATGCAGTCTTCTTGATCTGCTAAAACTTGCTTCACTTTTGTACTGGTAATTACAATTACAGGGCCTAGTTATGCCCTGTAATTTTTTGTTTGTTTGTTGTTCTCCAGTCATCATATTCCAGTCTCAATTGGATTTCCTGTCTGACAGTGCAACATCGTTTCCTTCAATGACTTTGTTTACAAACACAGTATTTGAGGCTCAGGTCAAATTGATTTGACAGCGTCTAGAAAAACATGCAGCTTCTCTTTGATAACCACATAGCTTTTCTGGTCCTTGCACTTGAACTAGGAATGATGAGACTATTCAGGACAGATTTCCTACTCCCACATACATACTGTTGAGAGACAGGCACTGATTAAATGGTTTGGAATATTTGATACAGGCTGACTTTGGCCTTTGATGAAACCCTTATCCCTTTATTAACCTTTGTTTTTTGACTATTGAAGATTTCTTCTTTTTCACCCTCAACAGTGTGTAGGATGAAACAATGTTAGCATTATCCTTTCCATTCTTAAATAGCCTTATCAGTTTCAAGATCCTATTAACAATAATTGTTTTGAAAAGCCTTTGTGGACTTTCACCCTTGGTTTTCTCTTGATAATCTTACTTAAGTTTCTCCATATCCCACACATTGGTAGAAAGTGTCTATTTTTGTTTGTGATTACATTTCAGTTTTTGTTATGGTCTTCCAAAACTTTATACTTTGAAGAAAGCTCAGAAAGCATTCTGACATTCTGGTTTTAAGTAAAGTTACAGTACTAACGAAAATGGTAGTACTTTTTATTGTGTGCTTAACTAAAAACAAAAGTGTTGGTCAGAGGATGGATCTTAACAGTGCTTTAGTTCAGTGACTAGGGGTAGTTTTGAGGTGTGGCCTAAATCAAAGCTGTTTTGAGACTGAAGACAACTGAGAAAGGGAAGATTTGGAAAAAGGGAGGCAGCAGCACATACCTGTGGGATCAGTTGATCACAGTGATTCCACACCTACCCCCCGCCCCCATGGTGGTGTGGCAACCTAATGAATTTCCTAAAAGTCTGGAAGTTTTAATTCAGGCTGGTATGTACTAATTTCTTACTTTTGCCATAAATGTCAGAAAGTGGCTAAAGGCAGGATTGTTGCAGTTATATTCCTTTTGAAAGCCAAATGTTTTTCATCCATTGTTCTGTTAGTACATTTTTTCATGTACTTGGCTTTCAAAATTTGTAGGACCTTGTTGGAAGCACGCAGTCAGCATGCTGAGTGCTTTGCTGGTGATCCCTGCCTGCACACAGCACACCAGGACAGTGGAAAGTGCCTTGCTCACGCGATGTATTGTTCAACTTCTCTATTAAACCTATGGATTAGTTGTGAGAAACGATTTATGTATAAGTTGCAGCCTCTTGATTACTGACCCAAACCATTTGTATATTCAGAATGTTGTTAGTTAACTTGAATGTCAGTTACTTTGATCGATACTGATGATTTTCAGATGTCCCAATTTTACCTTTCGTAAGGATATGTCTGCAAAGAAACTAGATGCAGCTAAAGCCTGTGCTGCAAACCTGGATGTGAGGAAAGGCTATGATTTTAAAAGCCACCTGCCCATGTTGTATGGGCACTCAAGCTCATATAATTTTATCAGTCAACAAGATTTATTAATACGAGTTTAACAGTGCAGTAACACATTGGGGAGGCTCCTGCTCAGAGCTGACTTACCTTAGGCAGCTCAAGGGTAGGCAGGGCAGACCTGCGTGCCTCTGAAATGTGAATGGTCTTTGGAGAGCTTTGGTGGATTGCCTCCAACACATGTGCCTTAGCAAGCCTTTAATGAGTTTTGGTCCCTTATACCCATGGAAACTCTTAAAGATGGGGCTTTATATGTTTGTCAGCCATCATGTACATTAGGGAACACAGTGATAGTCTTCAGGTAGAACAAAAGATATAATTCACTGAGCAAAATTTTGGCAGTGATAGGCAGGATGGAAAACAGTTTAGTTGTGTAACACAGGTATTTTGGGGAAATGATATTTTTAGTAGTATACATTATTTTGTACTCTGCATTCCAATATATATATTTTTAAATAAAAATCTGGTTTAGGTAAATCTACTTGCAGACGTTTCTTTATATCTTTTGTCTTTTTTAACTTATGTGACGTGAACATGACTCAAAATCACAGTCAATTTACTGTTTTTTCCAGGCGATACTCCTTTTTATGCAGACTCATTAGTAGGAACATACAGTAAAATTATGGATCATAAGAACTCATTACATTTCCCAGATGATGTGGAAATCTCTAAGCATGCGAAGAACCTTATCTGTGCCTTTTTAACTGACAGGTAAGTGTATGTATTTTTCTGGTACTATTTTTAGTTGAGATCATATTAGCACATGTACACTGTAAAAATTAATTCCTTCCATTACTTCTCCTAATCTCTGTTCAAATCTCTTCTGCTAAATCTCCTGCTCTCTAGTTTTTCTTTTGGAGTGTTTTTTCCAGGTATTGTATTTTATTTCTGTGAGCAGTTCTGACAGCTCTTGTTAACAACACAATTTGTGCCAAACTAATCCTTCCCATTGCAGTGTATAAAACAGTAACAAACCTGTAAGGCTGCAAGTATTGTAAGCTCCAAGGCAGGGAACAAATTATGGTGCTGAGTGTCTAAGCAGGTATTACTTTAAAAAATGGAAGCAAATATTTTTAGGAAAATAAACATGTATTTACTGGGTCTGTTTAAGGTTTCTTAAAATGTTTGAGCTTCTTTTAATTCGTTTTGTTTTCTTGACAAGTATAGCTAACAAACCAGCAAGGATGTTGTTTTGGCTATAAGTAGATCCTAGAGGTCTTCCTTTGTAGAACTGAGCTGTTGATTGATATTAAGATGCGTAAGCTTGTTCTTGGTCTGAACACTTACATTTTCTTTAGTTCCAGAAAGCAGAGTTATCTTCAGTTTCTCTGATTTAAAAAGAATACTGTAGGCCCATAGTTAGCTTTGGATTGATTATGCCTTCTTATGTTTTGCTGTGGTCACCTGAACTTCTTCTGAGCATCTAGCTTTTACAGAATTGAGGGATTAGGAAAAACGATTGCCTTATAATAGTTTTTGCATTCAGAGAGAGATTGTTTGCTCTCTCGAGCAAGATTACAGTTACTCAGGAAGGATGTGCTTTTACAGTTTGTTTCACCCTTAGTAACTGAAGGGCAGAGAGAAAATATGAGTAGAATTTAATAATGTAAATGCAGTGAGGTGTACTTCCACTACGTGTGTCCATCTTCCTGTTTATATTTAACACAGAGCTCGAGCAATTTATTTGAAACAGATGCCTTCTTTCCATATGCGTGATCAGTGCTGAAGCACTTACAGAAGGAATAAGCATTGACCCTGTGATTTATTACCTCTTTTACACACACTGCTTTTATGCCCTGTTCTTGTAGATAGTTTTAAGTGAGGCTCTTCTGGTCAAACTAAAGGTTTCTTGTTGCACTTAAGATTTACTTCACTGCAAATATGAGCAAAATATGTGTCAGGGTTAGTTATGGGGCAGAGGATGGAATTCTTAAAATATTTATTTTAGTCCAACTTTGAATAACTGTTCTGTGCAGTCAGTTAGACCTTCCTTCACTTCGTCTTAAGGTTTGTCATGTGGTTTGGCAGACATGGAACTTTTGCAGGTTTTTTTATCCCTCGGGGGTGTTGGGTTTTTATTTGTGTTTTTATTTTTTTCTTAGTTTTTGCCTCAGTGCTCTCTTTCTTGCTTCATTCCCCACGTGGCAGACTCCAAATTCTGGACATTTTAGCAGTTGCAGGGAGAGTGCATGCTAAAAAACAGAGTACATTTTATATAAGAAACTACAGATCAGTGGTTGATGGGTGGTTTTTTGTTGGTTTTTTTTTTTAATTTGACCATTAGTGTGGTCAACACAGACAATCTTTACTGAAAGTTTCTTTGCTGCTTATGAGTAAGTCAGAATTTAAATAACAAAAAACAAGTGCTGTTTTTCCTCATGTGAATTTGGCTTAATTGCTATGCTTAGGGATGTGCGACTTGGGAGGAATGGGGTAGAAGAAATAAAGCATCACCCTTTCTTCAAGAGTGATCAGTGGAATTGGGACAACATTCGAGAGAGTAAGTAAATTAGCTTAAAAGTTCTATTTTTATTCAGTATTTGTAATAGTAGAAATGAAAAAAACTCTAGGCTGTATACATTAAGTATTTTCTGTCTATCAAGAATCTTGCTCAAACTTCCATATCTATCATTTATATTATAAAACTCTATCAGTAGGGGTTAGTAAACACACATTTTTCCTACTGGAATTATCCTCACCTTTATGATGCTTTTAATCCATAGATTTCTGTTTTGAACAACAGAACTGGATGTTTCAGAATTCCAACTGAAAAGAATGCATGTTAGGTTTTGTTTCTTTCTGACTTTCATTGTTTTGGTTTGTTTGTTTGGGTTTTTAAATTATTATCTGGTGGTTTTAACCTTTTGTAGGAAAGACAATAGTTTGATAGCGGTCTTGTCAGTTTTACTGCTTTTCATTTAAGGTATTGTGAACTTGATAGCTTTAGGAGAAAACCAAAGTATGTCAGTTCAGATCATGAGCTTGACCATAACTGTATTTACTAAAGTCTCTTAAAATGATGATTGCATTTGGAGTTCTATTCACAAACGTACTTACCTTAACATATAAATCTTGCACATTAGATCTTCTATGCATTAGACAACTAGTATAAAAATAGATTTCTCTAGAAAAAATGTTCACAATATTTACAGATCTGCTGCACAGTTAATACATATTTAACTAGCAGGACACCTTATATTATAGTCTCTTTAACATAGAGATACTAATATATAGCAAATGACTGAATCTTGGAGTGAAGTTGATCTTTTCTCCTCTTTTTATAGCTGCTGCTCCTGTTGTTCCTGAGCTTAGCAGTGATATAGATAGCAGTAATTTCGATGACATTGAGGATGACAAGGGAGACGTGGAAACCTTTCCAATCCCCAAAGCCTTCGTGGGAAACCAGCTGCCTTTTATAGGATTTACCTACTATAGAGACAATTTGTATGTGAAACTTAACACCTGCAGGTTTTTCTTATATCCTGTCCTTTTTTCCACTCTATATGCATAATTTATTCATTGCATTATATTAATTTGTGTCCAATTGTGAAGATACAAAATGCAGAGTTTGAGTATATAATTTACGACTCTTTTGGTTGTTTTGATAACTGATTAAACACGATATTTTTATATGCACAAAATTATATAGTCTCTTAAAAAAATCTTTTAGGGTTAAAATACAGATAGGTTTGTAATTTAGTTCTAAAATGTCCTTTTATTAGCAGCTTTAGAAAAGGTTTACAAAAGTTTCAACTTGAATAGTTAAAAAAAAAAGTATTAATTAAAAAATCATAAGCTGCTATGGGACTTGAAAACATACATTATACTTTAGTTAAGATTCAAATCAGGAAGATGCACTCACACAGAAGAAAAACAAGCTTCATTCTGAGAATAGTGTAGGACAAATTAAAACTTGAGAGAATTGATTAAAATGAGTTGATTGGCAAGGGTGCCAGAGTTGTTGAAAACTTGAATAAGAGCTGGAGGGATTTGGTTTTGTTTTTGACAGGTTGCTAAGTGACTCCTCTCAGTCTTGCAGAGAAAATGAATCTGTGCAATCTAGTAAAAATGAGGTTAGTGCCTTTTTTTCGTAAGTATTAATGGTATGGTTAATTACTATTGTTTAGTCTGTTAAAAAAGACAAAGTCTAAAATAAGTTTTCAAGAAATTTTGGAGGGGGGCTTTTTGTCTTTTAATGATCCTCAGTAAAAATGGTATTTTCTGTTTACAGGACAGCAAGGAGGTAAGTATATTGTTTGAATTATGAAAGAAATAAAAAAATTCCTATATAGTTTATGTAAGTGTGAAATATCTTAAATATTTATTCACCAAATTGTTAACTTAATTAACAATTTTTAACTTAATTGCTATTAAGATACTATATACTATAGGTAGTATGGTATAAAGATGAACGACTACAGATTGTTCTTGAATTTTTTTGGCATCTATAAATTTGTTTATAAAACAAATGTGTAAGGCTCTGTTTGCCACAAACAGCATCGCTCTTGCGAAGGTTGTGAATTTTGGCTCCCCACTTGCCCGAGTGATTCATTCAGAGTTTGGAAAAGTAAATTGTTACCTGCAGTGATAAAGGAATGTTTAAATTGTGTGCTCAGTTGAATTGAGTGTATGGAGCATGTTTATCCAGTTTTTGATGACTGACAATTGAATTTAAATTTGCAGATGGCAGGAGAATGCTATGGAATTTTCACATACTTACTTATGTTATTATGTTACTTAAACATTTGTATTATTCAGGTGTAGATAGGATATTGTTAACATTTCTTAAAACTTACAGTTCCCTTTCAAAGTTTAAAAAATCAGTAAAGGAAATGCATTATGCATTGACCAGCATAAATTTAAATGCAAATGTTTATTAGACTCCACTTCATTCCTTCCTGTCATTGCTGAATAGATTAATAGTTTTAGACATTGCTGAATAGATTAATAGTTTTAGAGTTTCTGTTTTAAAAAGAAATGCTACTGCTGTTTAAAATACATAGTGTTAAAATTGTGATATCCTCTTTATTTTGTGGTAGTAAATGTAGTTGGTAAAATTTTAAATTTAGCTTCTGACACCACTTTTTATTTGTATTTTCTCAAGTAATGAATCTCTGTTTTTATGTCCTTTTCAGTGTCTTTCTTCTGCACATCTTCTAATTATAACAATTATAAAGTGTTTTAGAAAACCATATTTTTACATTTCATGTTTGGAGGGTAGAGGAGGAGAGGGAAGGGAAAATGCATTTGAAATTCTGAAGACATAAGATTAATCTAAAATTTATTATTTATAATTTATTTCATTAATATTTATTTGGGTACTTGACTCACTATGTCTTTTTAATGTTTTAGTAAGCAAAACAAAGCATTCCTAAGCCTGAAAAGTGTTTGTTAGCTTCTGTATGTGTTAGACTAAGAAATTCTTCCTTGTGTGAGGTCATTGAGCATGCTTAGTGATATTATCTCAATATTGTCCAATTTGGTCATGTGCCCCCCTTTTTATTTTTTAATTTTATTTAGAAAAGCCTGTCCCAGAAATTCTGCTACAGTGGAAAGTCTCTGCATACAGAGAAAGAGTACAACAAAGGACCAGTAGCAATGTTCTTTGCCCATAGAAATTTTATGACTCACGTTCTGTGGCACAGAATTCTGTGATGGTTAGATTTAATGTAGCATGCAGCAAAATCCGTTGCTATGGATCTCTGTCTTTACAAATGTTAATACCTTGTCAAGATATAACCTTGTAGTGATGGTTTTAAATTATTATA